GGGGAAGCAAGAACAAGTAAAAACGAAAAATAAAACTTACGGCAAGTCCCACGTGTCAGCTTGTGATTTCATTGATATTGAGGGGTTATTAGAGTACAAAGAATTTACATGCTTGCTAGCACCGTTATAATACTACAGTTCACTGGGACAATGAGTGTTTCTAGGGAATTAGTCAGGCTCTCTAAGTCTATCAATCAACGAATTAGCCTTGCACCTGCCTGCAGCGTGCCACACAGCCGGTTCCTCGACGACATTTCCGATCAAGGACAAGGCCGGAGCTCGTTGGTTTTTGAAGATTCCTGTGTTCCGTTCATTCCATGTTACTTTTTATTTGAGGGGTGAGAAATGAAAGCTAGTGTTGGAGTTGGGGAGAATTTTGAGGGGTGAAAAAGTAGAGAAGGCCTCCGATGGCTATTTGAGGGCTCAATTTGAGTGCTAGTGTTAAAAATGCCCGAAACTAAACACTGGGCAGCTATACTACAGTAAAAAAAACTGGCAGTCCTATCCACCGGCAGCAGAAAGCCAGAAACAGCCGCCCGCGCGCACCGCATCCAAAAATGCGGCAACATGCGGGTTTTAATTAGCTCAGCTGCTCTGTGGGCCGTCTCTGTGGGCCGGAACAGGCAACTTGTTCTTGTTGTCACCCTCTGCGGTCTGCGGATCCACCGACCAAGAGTAAAACTTCAGCTTCCTCTCAAAAGAGGACAATACAACTCCAGGTTGCCCAAAATGCAGAATAAATTTTCAAGGGGAAGTGTTGTTGAGTTACAGCGAATATATCAGATGTCTACTTAGCTTCCTGCAAACACCAGATCAATCGTGTGGGCAATGCAAAATTTGCAGCATTGCGACACACGGAATTCATCTGTTTTTTAGCATAATCTGTAGCTCTCCTCCTTCCTTGGACATCGAAGAAAACGCTGCCCGGTTTTTTATTGCGTGGTACGAGACCGCGGTTTACATATCTACATGAGGTTCTTCTACAACTCTACAACATTAACTATTCGGATGTCTCCCCTTTGTGAAAAAGGGAGGGAGGCTAGGGAGGCTATTATGGAGCATTGCTACACCTCTGGCCCTGACGCGAAGAGGTTGACAAGGCCCCGGCAAGCTTGGACAGACACTTCGCAGGCCTGAAAAAGCTCGCCATCCAAGTTCCATACGCTTTCGTCGTGTGATGAAATGAAGGTAAATGCTTGCGTCTACAGAAATTGGAAACATCTAAATTAAACAAAATGAAGGTTTGTAAACAGGGAAGAGCGTAAAGAAGGGAAAGGAATACCTTATGATGTTCAACAAACTTGAAGGTTAAAGGGTCCGACCCCTTCTTAGTAAATTGTGTCAGATGCCTGCAGATAGAACGGCTACCTCAAACAAACTCTAGAGATATAAGAGATAAAAAAAGAAGAGGATTGTACTATTTTATTGCAATTTTTTGCAACCTTATTTAGTTAGGGAAAAGTAACAGCAGAAGTGAGTAAACAGATATCGACTGTTGTGAGGTCCAACTTGACACAAAGTTTTTAGATGTAATTTGGTTAAATAAAATAGTTCTGAAATACGTTTAGTAATCACTTCTCAGTGCAGAGTACTGTGAAACAAGCTGAACAAGCAGTGACAGTATTCTTACCACAAATATAAGGGAAGAGGGCAATCTCTAATGAGCAGAAGGTGAAGAAAACCATCTGAGAGGTGTGCTTCAGCCACTAGGCCATCAGGGGCTCTTTCATTGCGACATGAAATGACAGCTGCACCGACACTTAGAAAACGCCCCTCGGACCAGATCCATTTTGGGTTATCATGAATCGTTTGGGAGCTGTTTGGAATCTCATCTTCTGAATTTTGTCCAGTTGTTGAAGTTTCTTTGCATACAGAACAATTTGCCAAGCAAATTGTTTTGCGGGATCTTTTTCTACGAGATTGCAGTGGTTGTACTTCATCTGCAACATTCTCTGCTGATGCAGCAAGTGAATGAGAGTTCTCATTCTCAAGAAAAGCCACTTTTGCATCATAAGATCTGAAAAATGGCATGCAATTGTCAGTTTGTGATCAAACTGAATAAGAAGCATAGCACAAGAAAGGATACTTGCCACCAGTTACTATTAATTACCTGTGCTTCAGGAAGACCATGGTTCCAGAAAAATCATAACGTGCGGGGCCCATCCATCGGTAGTTTTCACTCTCCCTTATGACTTCTCCATAAAATCCATATCTACAAGCAGATTCCAAAAGAATCAACTAATATGCAGAACAACAATCCACAGGGGGGTCATATAGTGATATGCAGATGCACCGACTTGGTAAAATTGTATGATCAATCTATGTTAAATGCAAATCCATAACTATCAGTAATGCACAAGAAACATCAACAGGAAGAACTTACTTACATCAAACAATGAAAGCAAGGCTAAGTCTAGCTAAGTTCAGCATTATTTAAGGAGAATAAAATGAAAACTGGAACTCCTATAACTTCTGCCAGATATATCGAGTTAATGTCACAGTTGTTGCAGGATATCTATGGTGGCATTGCACATTAGCATATTTAAGAAATAGATGGTCGACATTAAAATTCATGTGTTTCCTCGCTCTCAGTTCATACAAGCACTAGGTAGCTACATCATGCCCTAAAGGAAGTTACATACCCTGCAAATGAAGCTGCATAGCGTACAGTAGGTAAGACCTCAGCTGATGGGCTACTCTTCCACCTGACTACTTGAGCTATATCAAGCGCTATCCTTCTACCAAAGATAATAAGCAGGGCAGAAGTCACAGCATCTCGTTCCCCAGTTGTGCTGCATGGATCAATAAGATGTTTACAGCCAGCAAAGAACTGCCATCGATAAGAACATAATGTGTGCACACAAATAGTCCATCTATAACAATCCCGCAAATGGACATGGTATGCATGAATTAAAAGGACATTAAGCTCAAAATGTAAGAAATTATGCAAGACAATATAATTGTTTTGAAAGATGAAGGTGATGCTAATTTGGCAGGTGCACCAATTACAGCATACTTGCACACTGCTCCAATAGACAGATGAATGGATGGTAATGGTGGATCTGTCCAATGTCCTAAAGGATGAGGATCATAACCAGCTTACATGCAATGCTGTACAACTACAGATTTAAGGGGATTGAATTGCCATGATCTATGCAACTTTCTACCCCTAAAAATAAAGGCTCAGCTATTAGTACTGAAAAGTGTAGTTTCTCCTTGCGTGGTTACACCTAGGTGTCTCAATCAGTACCTGAGTACAATAGCATCTGTTGAGCCAGAAGGAATTATGCCAAGCCTAAACCAATCATTTGGGAAGGAGACTGAAGGAACTTGATCTGCAGTAGTACCAATTTCAACATCAAACAAAAGCTATCAATCGTGTAGCTGGCCCTAAATTTTTCGCAGTTTTAAGATAGACAAAATAACTCTGTTTCGGTTACTCATTGACCTCCAGTAGATGATTCTGTATTTGGATCTGCAATAAGAAGCACACAAAATTACTTATACAAGAAATTTCTCTACATAATATGTGGTACATGTAACCAAAAGGGACATACTTAATGATGAGATGTCTAATCCAACAGATTGCCCAGTCGAAAGAAGAGGTTCATGATCATCAGATTTGTTGGAACCCACACGGAGCATGACATTTTTTACAGCATCTGATGTGGGCGTACTGTTGTTTAGCCCATCGTTCCTATATCCTTGGCACTTCTCAGTGCTTCCAAAATATCCAAAGCCCTCTGGAGTTGGAGGATAAGAAGTCTTATTCCTCAAATTTAGTAGTCCATTCAGGATTTCATTAAATAAACCATCACCACCCTATAAATGTGAAGTTTGGAGAGTATACAAGTAAAATGGGGTGGAATTCAATAAGTTCAATAATGGATTGAAAAAAAAGTAGGAGTACAGGATTTGAGTTTTTTTCTCTCTAGAAGTACAGCATGGAATTATAATTTTCTTTTCTTTAACAGTACACACCGGAAGATTTCAGATGCCATATGAAAAAACTCTAGGGCACGTGGGAAGTGATCCTGTGAAAATCTCTTCACCAAGGCATATAGTGCGTTCATACTGATGTTACCAGGTTGTTGTTTATTAAGGGGGTGAATTCCCATTTTGTGCTTTAATCTCTTATCAGCTTGTACCTTAAAATAAACTAGTGATGACTAACAATAGTCATTCTAAAACTACTCATAAATTACGTAACAGTTTGGAAATAAGAAATTCAGGACTCATCTCACTGAAAACGACTTCAAACATCATGACTAATTGTAGTTATACAACACTTCCCGAACTATAAGAACAGAAAATGTTAACCAAGTATTATAAAAAATAAATCAACATACCACTGCAACAACACCGTCAAATTTCTTGAGCTCTTTATCTGATATTGATGCTAAGGTGTCATATGCATGTCCTGCTCTTTCCGTGATTATCACCTGAAGATGTAAACATGTTGTGAACATAAGTTAGAGGACTGAGGGTTGTTTCTGAGAATTTTGATGTCACAAACTCATCAATAACAAATATAGAAAGAAAGAATCATGCATAGACATTATTGCACGTCTATAATTCCTTTTGTTGTTTTTGCTTCTGTGAGCAAACATGTTTACCTTTGTATTTACTTTTGCCCGGTCAAATAACGGAGCTACCATTTCCCAATTTTTGCATCCTCTACCTTTTCCACAAAGTGGATGGACAAACACCTACAGTTTGTGGAATAGTTAGTTAGCCAAAATGCTCAATAATATGATAGCAGTGATAAGGGATATATGGAAGAGCGTGTTAGAACTACCATCAGGTTCTTGGGCCTGTCCTGTTCATTATTTATGCATGCACTGAGATGCTCAACCCAGCTTTTGCAGGTCTCCGGGTCTTTGTGTCCAAAAAGATATTCATAAGGTACCAATTGAGAAGGGTGTTTTCTTGATCTGGTGATTACATGTACAGCAAAGCGGTGCATCTGCATGAGCAACAGCTTTTTAAAGAGAACACGAGCATAAAACATGGCATGTGAAAGAACTTTTATAATGCATTTGGCTAAAAAAGAGTAGAAGCTTTTGACACAAACTACAGAAAAGGAACTCTGTAAAACAACTAGAAGGAATGCTATAACCTCACTATTTTTCTTGCTTTGGACGACAATTCTTGTATTCCAAGGTCCACATACAGGACCTTCATCAAGAAGCTCCACAGCATAAACATCCGAAAACTTGATTTTGTTCTCTAATTTTGGTAGTAATCCGATAGATGACAAACATGAAGAACCCAATTCCTGCAAAATGTAATGTGATGAGCAGAAACCACAGTCACGCCACAAAAAATAAGACAATATCCTCCTGAATATACTTATCATTTGCAACTCAAGAACGTAATCCTCGAGGCACAAGCAAAATTGGAACACCTATCCTTGTTGACAGAACTAGATGCATGTAAAATACTAAAATGTCATATTCACATATTTGGCTTTGCACACCAGCAGGATCACTTTCCTGAAGAGGGGAGCTAAGGTTGAGGTTGTGATTTGCAAGAGATAGAGTCACACAAACGCACAGGAGGATTCTTAGTTTCTGGTTTGGGTACTTAAAATAAGGCATTTTATGCTCCCCCATTTGCAAGGGGTTCAGCTGGCCAGTGGCTAGTGGCAACCATCCTCCTCTTGTTCAGCAACAATTAAACTACAGTTAATATGTATCGGAGGGAGTACTTCTTTTCCAAACAAAAGCTCGAACTTCAATGTTGTCCGAGGCCGCGGTGATCCTATGCTGCCACGGCTTGTAACCACGCTTTTAATGAACAATCTAGGCGCCTAACCCACGCTTCTTTATGAATCTGCAACTACTTACGCCGTCTCCACTTTACCTATCCGCCACCCAACTCTTCGGTTCAACCCCCGAAGCTGCAAATCTACAGCCCACCGTACAATTCGACTAAGAAAGCACAAAGTTCCTTCAGATTAAGTGCTGAAAAAGGAACATAATCCGTACGAACGGACAATAGCATACGGCGAGCAGAGACGGACGGGAGGCCAGCCTCAGTCAGAGCCAGAGGCGTACCGGGTGGAGAGGCAGGAAGGAGAGGCCGTCGTGGCCGAGGGTGACGGTGACCTCCCCGACGCCGCCCAGGAACAGCACCTCGCCGTCGCCCTGCATGGTCTCCCCTCTCTCTGTCGCCGTTGCTGAGCTCGACCGTGTCGTTCGCTCTATTTTTTCCGTTGTTCTTCCGGCGGGGGACGGGTACGGGGGCGCGGTTGTCTTTCGGCTGGACTTGTGCGCGTGGGATTGATTGGGTCTTCAGAGCATTACTAGTAGAACCCTCAAACCCTTAAATCCTCAAACCCTTACTAGCGTTTTAAGGGTTTAAAAATGATTTTTTTTGCACTTTTACAGGTTGAAAAACAGGAGCAAAGATTAAAACACTCAAACTCAACCCTTATAGCGGAATATTCCCTATGAACGACGTTGTCATTGCGCGCGGGAGGTCGATGGGGCGGCCGCCGGCGACGGGGACGACTAGCAGCGGCGGTCGCGGGCGTGGGCGCGGGAGTTGGGAGGATTTTTCCCTCCCGCGCGAGGATAACCGCCAAATGAGGGTTAGGGTAGATTTTGCTCCCCAACCCTTACTTTTGAGGATTGGGAGAGGATTTAAGGCTTGGACCTTTAAAAAAATTTTAAGGGTTTGAAGATTAAGGGGTTCTAGTCTACGGTTTTTTTCGACGAAAACTGTAAAAAAGCAGTTATTTTTAGGAGTTTGAGGGCTCTACTAGTAATGCTTTATCTGGTCCGTGCTGCTGGTTTCCTCCCGAAAGACGTTCCTGACTGGAGACAAGTCGTCCTCGTATCCATTGCCTTTTTTTTCTCTCGAAAACAAAAGTATCCAGTGTTTTGAGTTCCGAGTGTTGATTTTTTTTTTAGAATCAGTACGTCGTTTTATTTAGTTACCCACAGATGGAATTTCGTCTAAAAATACAGATAAAATGCAGTCTGGTGATAAACCTTCTCTGGCGAGCACATGTGCTGCATTATTCCCAGAACGCCTTACCCAAGTGATCTTGTAGTCTTGCCTGGTATTGAGTACTCCTTCCGTTTCTTTTTAGTCTGTATATAAAATTTGATCAAAGTCAAGCTTTGTAAAGTTTGACTAATTTTATATTAAAAAAAATAAACATTGACAATATGAAATCAACATTATCAGATGCACCATAAAATATATTTTCATACTATATAGTTTTAATATTGTAGATGTTCATATTTTTATATATAAATTTGGTTAAACTTTATATAGTTTGACTTTGATCAAATCTTATATGTGGAGTAAAAAGAAATAAAAGGAGTAGTGCTTTGACCTCTCGAATGATCGCCTCCGCCGCCGACAGGTTGCGTTCCTTGTCATTTAACATTGCAGCCACCCCTTTGTTGTCCACTTCGAGATGAATCGTCTGCGCGCCTTGCTAGACTACCATCTGCACTGCTTTGCGGCAAGCCAAAATCTCAGCCACTTCAGGATCACTTACACCGTTGAATACACAGCTTGCCGCCCCTCTGAACGCACCAACAATTTTTTTATTTTTTTAAATGAAAAAGGACCCCCGGCATCTACATCTGAACGATGTATGCAATCATTTTATTAATTATTCACACAAGATCTTATAAAATCATACAATAGTAAGACTAAAGTCACCGTCTAGGCAATATCTGCCGCTACTCCTATTCAGTTGATATAGGGATGCTGATAGTCTGGTCCTAATACCAAACAGATCTCGCAGCCAAACCTAACATCTATGAACTGAGATCCCAATCAGGACGTCTGTCGGGTATGGGGCACCCACCAGTCCGGCGCACTCTTCAACCCGGACGTCTGCCGGGTATGAGACCGCCGCAGCCACCAGCCACTACTAGGGAAACGGCTATAGCTAATATGGGCATTAATAGCGCACCATGTATGTGGTGTGCCACTGCTATATAGCAGTGGCGCACCAGATACAGGTACGCCATTAACGTCCACATTACTAATGACGCACCTGGTGTGTGGTGCGCCATTACTATTTTTGAAAAAAAAAGATAAAAAAATTTGTTAGCAGTGGCGCACTAGTGGATAGTGCGCCATTAACATGCTTATTTATTTATTTTTCAAAACTAGTAATGACGCACCACACACCAGATGCGCCATTAGTAACCCTGGTTACTAATGGCGCATTCTTAGGTGGTGCGTCATTGGTAATCTGGGAGCAGCTAGATATTTTGGACAGTCACCTACCACACTCACTTTCCCCACTTCATTCTCTCCACCTCTACCCAGCCTGGTCTCGGCTGCCTCCTCCTCCTCACCTCATTTGCACTATAGATTCACCCAAATTAAGACCCTGTTCGGAGTTCCACCAGCTTCACGAAATCCGAGGAGTTGCAGAGCCAGGAAACAGGCGCTCCACAACTTTCAACACTAACTCCACCTGCTCCAGGAGTGGAGTTGTGGAGTGGAGGTTCTCCGAACAGGGCCTAAGTGGTTAAATTTCCTTTTTTGATAGGTAAGTAAGGGAAAAGCTTTCTTTATGTTCTAGATCTACTTTTTTCTCCCTCCAACAACGTACACACTTTTTATGGCCTAGATCTACGTATGTTTGTGGTGTTGCATATGTTTGCGGTGTTGCATATATTTGTGTTTGCAGGTACCGGTATTTGAAATGCGATAGTTGCCAATATTTTTCCGGAATGTTGATTCATTTCCGTTTCGGCGAGAATTTGGCACTATGCATTCTTTTTGATCCTATTTTTAGGCAAAGTCATGTCAATTTTTTTTGTTCTAAAATATCATTTTGCTCTACCCCGCAGGCGACCATGGTCCGCATGATGACCGAAGGCATCGTGAATAGGTTTTTGAGCTCCGCGAAGGCCGAGATGCTTCAAAAGAACGAGACGGAGATAAGATGTCCATGTCAAAGATGCAAGCTGGAGAGCCTTATGGACCCGGATGCCGTACAGGTGCGGGACCACCTGCTCTTGCGTGGTTTCATGGATGGCTATCGATGGCAAGGTGATAAAGATGACTATGAAGTCGTCCATGGGGGGCGGGCAAGAAATGAGAAAGGGCAGCAAGACAACCGCGGCGAGGGCGGGCGAGAAGACGAAGAATCTCCAGGACATGATCACGAAGTAGATGCAGTACACAGTCATCATGTAGAAGATGTCGGACATGATGATGAGGAAGATCAAGACAAAGGGCATGATCATGAAGATGAAGATGCCGGAGCAGACGACGATGGACCATCGGTGGGCTGGGTGTAGGACCCTCATATTCAAGAGCTACTTCTCAAGCAGACGGGTAACACAAGAGCTGCCGCCTGAGAGAAAGCCAAGCTGGATCAACTGGAGATAGACGCGGTTACTCCATTGTATGAAGGATGCAGGCCCGAGGATACCCGCCTGAAAGTAACGCTCATGGCTCTAGAGATGAAGGTAATGTTGGGGATCGTAGCAGAAATTTAAAATTTTCTACGCATCACCAAGATCAATCTATGGAGTAATCTAGCAACGAGGGGAAAGGGAGTGCATCTACATACCCTTGTAGATCGCTAAGTGGAAGTGTTACAAGAACACGGATGAAGGAGTCGTACTCGTAGCGATTTAGATCGCGGTTGATTCCGATCTAAGCGCCGAACAACGGCGCCTCCGCGTTCAACACACGTGCAGCCCGGTGATGTCTCCTACGCCTTGATCCAGCAAGGGGAGAAGAAGAGGTTGGGGAAGACTCCGTCCAGCAGCAGCACGACGGCGTGGTGGTGGTGGAGGAGTGCGGGACTCCAGCAGGGCTTTGCCAAGCACTATGAGAGACGAGGAGGGAGAGGGGTAGGGCTGCGCCAACAGGGGAAGAACTTTGTGTGTTGGGCTGCCCCTTTGCCTCCACTATATATAGGGGGAGAGGGAGGGCTGCGCCCCCACCTAGGGTTTCCACCCTAGGGGTGGCGGCAGCCCCAATCCCCATTTGGGGTGGCGGCCAAGTGGGGGGAGAGGGAGGCGCACCAGGCATGGGCCTTATGGCCCATCTGCCCTTAGGGTTTGCCCCCTCTTCTCTCTAGGCGCATGGACCTTGGTGGGGAGGCGCCCCAGCCCACCTAGGGGCTGGTCTCTTCTCACACTTGGCCCATGTATGCCTCCAGGGCCCGTGGCCCCTCCCGGTGGACCCCCGGACCCCTCCGGTGGTCCCGGTACACTACCGGTGATGCCCAGAACACTTCCGGTGGCGAAAACCATACTTCCTATATATCAATCTTTACCTCCGGACCATTCCGGAGCTCCTCGTGGCGTCCGGGATCTCATCCGGGACTCCGAACAGCATTCGGTAACCGCGTACATACTTTCCCTATAACCCTAGCATCATCGAACCTTAAGTGTGTAGACCCTACGGGTTCGGGAGTCATGCAGACATGGCCGAGACAACTCTCCGGTCAATAACCAACAGAGGGATCTGGATACCCATGTTGGCTCCCACATGCTCCACGGTGATCTCATCGGATGAACCATGATGTCAAGGATTCAATCAATCCCGTATACAATTTCCTTTGTCTATCGGTACGATACTTGCCCGAGATTCGATCGTCGATATCCCGATACCTTGTTCAATCTCGTTACCGGCAAGTCTCTTTACTCGTTCTGTAACACATCATCCTGTGATCAACTCCTTGGTCACATTGTGCACATTATGATGATGTCCTACCGAGTGGGCCCAGAGATACCTCTCCGTCACACGGAGTGACAAATCCTAGTCTCGATTCGTGCCAACCCAACAGACACTTTCGGAGATACCCGTAGTGCACCTTTATAGCCACCCAGTTACGTTGTGACGTTTGGCACACCCAAAGCACTCCTACGGTATCCGGGAGTTGCACAATCTCATGGTCTAAGATAATGATACTTGACATTAGAAAAGCTTTAGCATACGAACTACACGATCTTGTGCTAGGCTTAGGATTGGGTCTTGTCCATCACATCATTCTCCTAATGATGTGATCCCGTTATCAACGACACCCAATGTCCATGGTCAGGAAACTGTAACCATCTATTGATCAACGAGCTAGTCAACTAGAGGCTTACTAGGGACATGGTGTTGTCTATGTATCCACACATGTATCTGAGTTTCCTATCAATACAATTCTAGC